AGACGTGACACAAACGATTAACTCTGTTCTGCCCACCCGGCGGTCTCCCACCGACCCGGTGCGTGCGCTTTAAGGCTAAGCCGAGTTGTAAGTCACGTCTATTCTCACCCGCCTCATCTCTCACTACTCTCTCCTTTCCTTTTTCTATGAAAGTCGCACCCACCCATCCTACTGCCTGAGGTCATGGTGTCCCACCCCAAAAAAAGCAAGTCCTGGCACATTCCAGCTCCAACAGCAGGGGCTGCCAGCAACCCCCTGGAAACGCACCGGGGCTCGGCACCTTCTCTTTTCACAATACCTGCCAGGCTCCAACAGGTGAGGACGTTACCCAATACGAGAGGTCCTCGCCCACCGTGGGGAACGGCAAGTTCCCAGGCGCACATTTACTGTACGCTTGATGTTGCGCCACTTCCAACTGCCCACCAGCACGCCCCCACAGTGAGTGTAAGCCAGCCATTGTGCCACGGAGGGGGATGGAAAACCAGATTTATTTCATAGTCGGGCTGCACTGCCACTAGGGTTCAGTAGTAACAGATTACATCTGCCCCATGTAATCAGATTACAAGAAGTAACTGTATTTTTCAAAAATTACATCAGAAAAAAACTGATTTTTTTAAATAATATGTGTGCATTACAAAACAAAATTTGTGCCTGCATGTTTTGGGATTGATATCATTTGATTTATTGCCAAAAAGACATACGTTTTCACAGATTTTTTTCGATTTAATATTGACGATTTGCCTTAAGGCAAACATTCCCAGTGGGGGCTCATTTTGCTCGAGAAGATCAAACTCCTTGGTGTGATCTTAGATTGAAGGCAGAGGACATATAAGAAAAAGAAAGGGAAATCTGCTAAAGCAAATATGGTATAAGCACTTTGTGTAAAAAATTTTAGATGATCATTTCATTTAAAAATACAGTTTAATCTTACTTATAAAGCTAAATGATTAGTTGCAATTAGTTTTTTCTGCAATTTTGAGGTGATACAGAAGTAGTCTGGTAGTTACTCAATTAAAATATGATGACAAGTGGCTTTCTTTAACTGATTACAAAAGTCTGCACATACTTGGTATTCCAGCAGTTCCTCTATTTGCCTGTCAGACCCAGACGTCTCATTAAGCCTCTGTGGGCCGGTCTCAGCAGCATCTTAAAGTGGCGCTGTCTGTAAACACTGGCTTCGGTCTCTCAGGTAGCCACAGCGGGTCCTAACGCTGACCTGCAGGCAGTGAGGCGCCGTCTGCCTAGAGGGCGCCGTTCAGCTCTGCCTCTGCAGGGGCAGGGGGGGGGTCACTCCTTTTTCTTTCCTCTTTTCTGTGGGCGTCTGCTCTAATCTGCAAAGCTAAGCAAAGAGGAGGCAGGTGGTCAGAGGCTGTGTTGGAATTAAATCAAAACTACACACGTTCTCATGAAACAAGCAACATTAAAGAATGAGAACGACTCTTCTGCCCTTTAGTGGAATTAACCAAACTCTGAGTGAGTTGTTTTCAATTCAAAACGGTCTGAGATGATGTAATTTTTTTTTTTTATAGCGATGTGTCGCCTCTCAGCCCAATTTGAACCGGTCTTCTTCCCCAGCAGACATTCCACATATGATCTGCATTTGTCATTACCGTCTGGATGATGGTTTGGATTCATACTCACCAAAAAGGGGGTGGCAGTAAACACAAACTGCTGCGCAGACATGGCCACTTCACTCCCTAACTAATGGCTTGTATATTTAGCAGGAGCGTGCACACGTGTGTCCAGCTGCTGGCCTACATTCAGTCAGTGGGAAGGTGTTGGGGTTTGTTTCTGAGCCCCTCCATCTGCACAGAGCTGAGTTCAAATGCTACTCAGAATGTCTTTTTTGGGGCATTTTCTCAGGATGTATGTGTGTGAATTCCACAGGAAGAACCTTGGAAGTTCATTACATTTCGAAAATTTGATATATTTTTGAGAATTCACCGTTTGAATCTGGTGGATGCCGAGAAATCTTCTGCTAATAAGTTTTCAGTCACTTTGTTCGGTCTTTATTCGACACCTAAGGCCATAAAACCATAAAACCAAGGTCGTGATGACATTTTAAAAACTCTTAAATGTTCTTTAATATCTGTCCTCGTCCAGTTTTTATTCACTGTAAACTAAACATTAAATTAATGTACTGTAGCGTAGCAGCGTAGTCTAACGGAACAATACCTTTTTAAAATGTAAATATATGTACAGAATTGCAAAATTCTGTTTATCAGAGGTTTAACAACAATTCTCACCGTTTTTTAAAGTTCCAGCTGAGATTCCTGTCGTTCTTTTGTCCAAGAAAAAAAAACAAAACAAAAAAAACGCTGCCTTCTCCTAAAGTTAACTGAAAAGTGCTATTAGTTGCTATGGTTACAAGGACTTATGACATGCGCAGTTTAACAGGCGCCAATCACAGACGAGAACCTGCTTGTGGTTATTAGCGTAATTTCAGTTTATGGGCAACTTAACCAAGGACCCAAGCAAACTGATTATTTAAAGCAAACCCTGAATAATAAATACATTAATTATTGGTTTTTAATCAGGCCTTTAGAGTTCAGACATTTCTTTCAGTTTGTTTTTTAATTTGTTCATAAAGTGCCTTAATGTTTTTTTTCCAAAGCCAAAAACTAGACCAAATTAGATTAAAAATACTGGAATTACTGTTTATTGGACGTGTTAAGGTGCCACTGAACTAAAGAAAGAGGCTGAATAACTTACAGCAATGACTCATGAAACATGTCCAGACTCAATTTAAGAAAGAATTTCAAATGTGTATTGATTCATTCTTGTGTGGAGAGTGCACAGCTAGCAACACATTCACAAATAACTTTTATTTAAATTTTTTTATACACATTATAACCATATCCAACACATTTTATATTATCATAAAATGACTCTTCTCCTTGTCTTTTACATAAATCAAAAAATTTGTATATTAAGACTGCAAAATAGTACTCCTGTCATTTTTGTATATAGCTTTGTACACATAGGGGTCACAATGCATCCTTTTGCCTCTAACGAATGCACATTTCAGAGGGGAAGGAATAAGAGAATAAGAAAGGGCAGCCATAAGCAGAGAGAATACAAGAGCTCTAGCAAGACGCAGGCTAGCGGGTGACACCACCACCACCATGTGACCAACTCTGACCGGGGGTCAAACGCTCAGACCCTCTGTACCTTTTGGCAGAGTTGACGTTTCACTTCCAGTCTGTATTTTCACCTAAATAATTGGGTTAAATCACATTGAGAGGAGCTAAAAACAGTATTTGAACCCGAGTCTCCACTCCCCCCTCCCCACAAACGAGCCCTGAAGTTGTTCCGAGCGCCACATGTAGCTGTACGATGAAAATATAACCAAATACACCTCAGGAGAAAAAGCACAGAACAACGAGGAAAAGAGAGCGAGAAAAAAAAAAAAAGTCAAATGTGATAATTCCTATCGAGTCGGGCTCCGTAAAAACACCAGCTTATCCCCATCATGACCTTGGGAAATAAAATACACATACAGTATTAGAGAGATAATAAACCATGCTATAATCATCCCGTGAATACATCTGGACCGTTTTTTTTCTCCATGTCAAAGGCAGCCTAACACACATCGGGCCTCCTCCTCCTCCTCATGCGAGACGCGAATTCAAACGCTGGAAAAGAAGACGAGCATGTCAACACAGCCGGTTTACAGATCCCCGACTGGGAAAAGGGAAAGGGAAAAGTCCACAGAGATATGTACTGCTCTGAACTTTAAAAAGACAAACCGCCGAGAAGGTTTAGTAGTCGCGAGCACCCTCTTTAGTTCGCGTCTTCAGAGTGCTCGCTTCTTTCCCAAAAAGTGAAACTGGCCGGAGGCTTTGCAGCGCTCTACTGGAGGAGCCATTATCGCCCATAACCGGGACAGAAACCAGGATCTAAGACTCCGAACCGTGGCGTTGGAGCCTCCAGTAGAGCGGTGCAGAGTGTGTGAGGAGGAAAAGGCGTTTACTTTCCCTCTCCTTCATCCCCTCAGCCTCACAGGCCACAACCAACCGCCACTATAGAAAAGAGAAATACAGAATATCCAACGATACAAAACAGGTGTGTGTGGGTGCGGCTTTGCTGGGGAGGCGGCAGCCCTTCAGTGTTGGGGGGGGCGGGGGGTTAACCCGAGCCGTGAAGATGGAGCTGAGTTCGGAAAAGACGAAGACTGAATGAGCCCTGAAAGGGGGAGGGGGGGGGTTAACCCGGGAGCAGGGGAGGGAAAAGTGCCAGGACGTGTGGAGCGGCTCGTGTGCGTGTGCGCAAAAGTGTGTGGATGTGTGTGTGCGGGCAGTGAGAGGAGGGATGGGGGGGGGACTGGGAGGAGGGGGGGGGTCACTCAGTGGTGCGGGTGGGAGTACTGGGCTGGTTGAGGCCCATCGTTCTGCACAACCAGCCGGCAAAGTCCACCTCCCCCACCTCCGACCGCTTGATGAACGTGTGGCTCTGAAAGCAGAAAGGAGAACCTGTTGGCAGCTCCGAACACAAACAAGAAAACCCCAAACAGTCCCAGTGTCCCACTACCCACCATCAGCATCTTCAGGTCCGCCCTCTCGGCCGGGTTCTTAATCAAACTGCACACACAGAGGACACCAAACACATCAGTGCACGAGCTGTTGTCTCTAATGTTTTCTCTTTAAATGCATATGGAAATTTAATGTATTTGATCTACACTCTGCAATTTTTATCTGTCTAATTTGTCTTATTTTTCTTGTTTTTCTGCTTTTAAATTCTCTGTGAAGCACTTTGAATTGTGTACTACACAAATAAACTTGCCTTGCCTTTCCTAATGGCTCTAACAGCCACCATAGACGTTATTAACAGAGCAAACAGGAGCATTTCAGCCAAACAGAAACTTCTAACATGCTTCTAACAGGTTCACTGGTAACTTGAACTGTAGATCTCTTCATTGAACCGACAGGATTTCTGAAGCAGATCTAATTATTTCCCCTTTCACAGACTGGAGGGGAAAAAAGAAAACTGCAAGGCTGCTTCAAACTGTTGGGAAAAGAAGCATCTCCCCTGCAGGGGGAGTCTCTCCAGCTCTCCCCGGGGGCCAAAACCCTGCAAACCCTGGGCTGTGCACTCAGTACTGGGGAAGAAAAACTAAATAAATTAATCAACAACGACTGGATGAATCGAGTAGTGGAGTGGGGCCAGAGACCAGGTAGAGTTCGGTGGTTTGAAGGCTCAGTCTGGGAGGGGGGGGCAGAGCTTTTGGTTCTAAATCAGCCCCTGCTTCTAGTTTTTTGGTTTTAACCGAGTGGAGACAGCTGATCCATCACC